GGGCCCACCGCACCCCACCCCACCCCACTCCTGTTTTCCCCACGGCTGGCTCCTTCTCATCACTGATGCCCCAGCTTAACTGACACCACCGCCAGGAACCTTCCCTAACCCAACACTGGACTAACCACAGCCGCATCACCCCAGTACATTAACCCCAATTTCCCCATAGCACTTACTGCCTTGCCCTGTGGCTCCCCACGAAAGTGGCGTGCGCCCATGCCTAATTCAGCGAGCGTCAACCCTGTGTCATGCCTGCTGTTTACCGGTGGGGGGGCACTTGAATGTAATTTGTAGAAACCACAACAGGTTAGCTGGAAAAATTACTGCGGTGGGCATTTTCTAAAAGTAACATTCTTCTTATTTACTTATATTATAGAGCAGCCACCCCTCGACATAACTGATATTACTCTTGTCAGTTCCATCTAGTATTCAGTTTATGTTAAAATCTCCCCTTGTACAGCGCAGTCCCGACCTCCGCGCCTCGACCCCCTTCAGGAGTTGCATAAATGTCTGTCACTATGAGTTCTTGACTCCAGGGGTTGCTAGGAGCAGGTACTCAATAAAGGTGAATCAGCCCCCCCCCAGCCATCTCATTCTGAACTGTCATTCTGTAGGAGAGGTGACATTTGCACAGGGCCACACAACAAGAGGTCTGTCAGGGCCCCAGTACAAACTCGAATATTTCCAACCCCCAAACCCAGGATCTTTCATCAGGTACACAGCAGGTGCTCAATAAATGACCATGGCATTACTGTCACGGGCCCAGCGCTGGGGCTGGCCGTTCTGGGCCAGAAAGCACATCCCCGGAGGCCTCCCGGAATAGGGCCCTCCCCTACCCGGACTCTCTCTAGACCCTCCATAACGCCCCTGCCCACCCCCCCAGTCCACAGGAAACGTGTGGATGACACATGAGGAGATGGAATCCCTCACGGCCACGACCAAGCCTGTGAGTGCCCCCTGCCGGCGGCCGGGGGGCGGCACTACCTGCGGGAGGAGGCGGGGCGAGTTTGTGGCTGGCTGTGGTCTGTCCGTCCCTCCCGTCCTCCTCCACCTGCCCCTTAACCCACCCCTTCTCTCCCCTCTTCCCACTAACGGGTCAGGAGACCAAGGAGATCAGCTGGGAGCAGGTAGGGGGCGCGGGCGGGGCGTGGGCGCATGAACAGGCTGTGCACGCTGCATGGACGCCCCTCCTCCAAGCCCGCCCCCACCCTCGCTGCAGCAATCCGTCATCCCCACGGGGGGCGCCGCGCGGAGCTCGGCTCGGGACTGTCTCATTGTGGCTTGAAGGGGGTGGGTGAAGAGGCCGGACTGTTCCATTGTTAGCGTGGTGACTGGCTGTTCCTTCACATGGGTTGCGGGGCTCAGGGCTGTTCCATTTCTATAATAGAGGGAGCCTCTGGGCAGCCTGTTATCCTTGTGGTTTGAGTGGGGGAGAGGGAAGCAGAGACACTTGGGGAGGTGGGGTTACATTTTATTTTCAAGAAGGGGGAGGCATGAACTCCCCGGGGTGGGCTGGTATTGGGGGGACTGTGAAGAGTGAGGAATGGGTCCACTAGCCTTTGCTGGGGGGAGGGGTACACTGGAAGAATCCATTGTCCAGAGTTAGGTCGAGCTAGGTTGGTGCTTCTTAAACTTTAAGGGACGGTTCAGTCCCGATGGCCTGAGGCCCTGGTGAGAAGGCAGGTTCCGGTTGGCAGCAGGCCGGGTGGGGTCTGAGATGCCGCAGCTCCCTCAAGTTCCCAGGCCAGGGCGGAGCCGCTGGCGACCATGCTCTGAGCACACGAGGCTTTGCTGTGTCCTGGAGGAGCAGGACCCCTCGACTGGGCCACGGTCTTGAGCAGAGATTGGCCACTGCCCTTCTGTGGGGAGGAAAGAGGGCGAGTTGGGCTGGGGGTTGGGTTGCACCTGTCTCATACACACGCGGGAAGTGGCCGGAGGACCTGACTCTCTCCTACCTGCCCCTGGCCCCAGATCCTGGCATATGGCGACATGAACCACGAGTGGGTGGGGAACGACTGGCTGCCCAGCCTGGGGCTTCCCCAGTACCGCAGCTACTTCATGGAGTCGCTGGTGGATGCGCGCATGTTGGACCACCTTAACAAGAAGGAGCTGCGGGGCCAGCTCAAGATGGTGGACAGCTTCCACAGGTGGGGGCTGCCTGGCCAGGGCAGGTACCGGGGAGCCCCACCCCTAGGGGCCCGTTGACTGGGCACTCTGTGGCCCTCTAACCTGGATTCTCAGGAAACCCTCACCCTGTGCCCAGGAGACAGGTCCTGACAGGACTAGCTGATTCCGCACTGTGTTATCAGCTAAGCCGGCTGATGAGACCTGCCCCTTGCAAATGCCCCCAAAAGCCCCCAAATGCCCCCTACACGGAACAGTTAATAGAACTCACCCCCGGGACATCTCCCCAGCCCTCTTGGGAAGGCCACCGTCAACGGGAGGGCCCAATAGGAGTAGCTGTCACTGGGGTCGTGAAGGCTTCTTCTGTGCCTCAATGTCCCTTACCGCTCAGGGTGAGCCTGCATTACGGGATCATGTGCCTGAAACGGCTCAACTATGACCGGAAGGACTTGGAACGGAGGCGGGAAGAGAGTCAGACCCAGATCCGAGGTGAGAAGAGTCTAAGAAGTCCACCGGGAGCCAGGCTGGGGGTGCGGAGGGCCGGCCCATTGGGGTTGGGGAGAGACACCAGAGGAAGAGAGCCGCGGAGGAGGAGGGTGGCTTGGGGGCGTGGCCAGGAGAGGAAATGGTGGGAGGGACGGGCTACCTGGGACAGCCCTGGCGCCTGGAGGGGCGCTGCTGAGGATCCCTTCTCTCCACAGACGTGATGGTGTGGTCCAATGAGCGGGTCATGGGTTGGGTATCTGGTTTGGGTCTGAAGGAATTCGCCACGAACCTCACGGAGAGCGGGGTGCACGGGGCGCTGCTTGCCCTGGACGAGACCTTCGACTACTCCGACCTGGCCTTGCTCCTGCAGATCCCCACGCAGAATGCGCAGGTGAGCGGCCGCTGGGCCCGGGACATCCTGGGCGCCCCCACCTGGCAGACTGCTCGCTGCAACCCCGCCCCAACTTCTCCTCCCCAGGCCCGGCAGCTCCTGGAAAAAGAATTCAGCAACCTCATCTCCTTGGGCACAGACCGGCGGCTGGACGAGGTGGGCACTGAAGCAGCTCAGGGGCGTCTCTGGGCGGGGCGCCGGGGGCGGGGCTTGATTGGAGGGGCGGGGCCAGGCGGGAGGCGGGGCCAGGCCGGGAGGCGGGGCCAGGCCGGGAGGCGGGTGGCGTCCGCCGAGGGGCGGAGTCGTGACTCGGGTCCCCTCACCCGTCCCCGGCGCCTGGACCCAGGACAGCGCCAAGTCCTTCAGCCGCTCCCCGTCCTGGCGGAAGATGTTCCGAGAGAAGGACCTCCGCGGCGTAACTCCCGACTCGGCCGAGATGCTGCCTCCCAACTTCCGCTCGGCCGCAGCGGGGGCGCTGGGCTCGCCCGGGCTCCCCCTCCGCAAGCTGCAGCCGGAAGGTGGGCGACTCCCTAAGGCGACAGTCCCGCTCCCTTCTTCTCGGGGTGGGCCAGGACAATCAATATTCCAGAAGCCTCCCTCTCCAGGTTCTGATGTGGTCTCGCCCCTTCTCCCCGTGACAAATGGGTCGCTCCAGTAAGCCAGCTCCCCGCCGCAGGGTGTGGAAGGGATTCACCCCACACCCCCTTTCCATGGGTGGGCAATGAACTCGCCGCAGGCACCTGGGCCACCTTGAGTGAATCCCGGGCTGCGGGGCAGGGCGGGAAGCCGGCCGTCACTGGGGAGGCGCGGCCCGGGGCGGAGGCGTGGGGTCGGGGCGCGGAGAACCCCGCGAGGGGAACAGGGCGGGGTGTCCGTGCCCGTCGGGGCCGAACCGCCGCTCGCTCTCCCTGCAGGCCAGACTTCTGGGAGTTCCCGGGCAGACGGCGTTTCGGTCCGGACCTATTCCTGCTAGTGTAGGCCTGCAGGTGAGGACCGCTGGGCGTGCTGGGGTCGGGGCGGCACGGCACCTCCCCGCCGCTCCACACCCTGCCTGGCGTCAACGCAGGTGACCTCACGCGGACGCAAGACCCTTCCGGAGCCGGGGCTGCTCCCCCTCCTGCCAGAGTGTGGTCTCGCCCGGGCGCGCGGGCGGGGGAGCGCGCGGCGGACTGAACCATCTGCGCAGACCAGCGGGGGGCGCGCTCCCGCCGCACGCTTGGACCGGGCCTGGACCAAACCACGCGAGCCGGACCGAGACGGGGGCCGACGCGGCGGGCAGAAGCCCCGCCCCGAACTTCCGCCTCCCTTTTCTCAACTTTGTAATTTATTGACGAGTTTCCGAAGGGAGCTGGGCGCCCTCTCCCCGCGGGGGGGCGGGGCTTCCCTCCCGGGCCGCATGCGGGGAGAGGCTCCCCTCCCCTGGCCCCTCCCCGTCGCGTCGCGGGGCCTAAGTCTTCCTCTTCGTCCGTCTGGAGGGGGGACTCGCTGCTACGAGCCTCGCCCCCTGTGCCACTCAGCCCCGCCCCGTCGCGTCCGGTCGCCGGTGCCGGGGGTCAGCTGCGGGCGAGGTCCCCTCTCCCTCCCCAGTGTCTCGTGTCCCCCGGGCCCTTACGCCCCCCCGTGCTGTGGCCGTGTCCGTGCCCCGGGGGTAGGGGGCGCGCGGTGCGCTCCCGTTCCCCTCTGGCTCCGGGGTTTGCATGGGAGAATCCTCTTTCCACGATGCTACTGGGCTACGTGGCGTGGGGAGAGGGAGGACGGTGGGGGGGCCCTCGCCCCGACTCTTGGCCGGCCTCCCTGCCCCAGACGTCTCTCAGTGATCACGGGTAAAGAGAACCGTTTCAAAAAGCTCCCGTGTTGACTGATTTCTTCGTCGGACCGTGGAGAGCTAACCAACCACCTCGAAGCCCCCGAGCCCTGTTCCCTGTTCCCCGAACCCTCGAATCCCTACCTACGTTAGCCAGCGCCCCTAGAACCCAGACGCCTGACAGTTTTAGGGAGCACGTTTATTCAGAGAAATAAATAGACTCGTGGAAAGAGACGGGAGGGCCCGGGAGCTACCTCCGCGCCTCCGCTGTGAGGCCTTGTCAGGGTTCCTGGGTTTCCAGCATGTCCGCCAGGGCTCTGTGGAGGACGAAGAGGGTGGGAAGCCCAAGTTTCCAAAGCTCACTTCGGGGCGCTTGGAGATGGTTACCCTACTCCTTGGCGTCCCAGGGTTGTCCTAGAACGCAGCGGGGGGCACCTCTCTAAAAGGGACCCATAAACCTGCGCCCCCCCCATCCCCACACTTACTGGTACAGAGATGAGGAGAAATAGTCGACGTAGCTTCCTGTGGGAGAGAAGAGACTTGAGGGGTGCTCCACAGGAGAATTTAGGGGGCCGCTCTTCAGGAGTCCAGTATCGGACAAGCCTCTCCCCTTTTCCTTAATTTTGTCACCTGGCTGAACTCATTCCTCTGTAGGTTCTAATTCCTCTTTGCCCTAGATTTTCCCATACTCCGGTAGCCCGGCACTGCTTCTGGCTCCGCCCACCCGGCTCCTCGACCCTTGACGGTTTCAGGGATCCTGGGTTTCGCTATCAACCCCCAGCTTCCCTTGGCCAGGGCCCCGCCCACTGGCGCTCGCCCCTCCCCATCTCGGAAGTAGCCCCGCCCCTTTTGGCTCCGCCCCCACAGGATTCTGCCCCTAGAACCCCACTCCCTCTGCCTGTTGTTTCTGGGGCCTGGTTCAGGCTTACCTGGGGTGCAGACAGTCTCGCAGACCAGCGGGCAGAGGTAGCAGAACTGGCAGTGCTGGGGACGGAGAGAGAATGTGCATGGGACTGGCCAGGCCATGGGGGCCGTCCGCCAGTGAGTGAATGGCTAGGGCCAGGGTGGATTGGGAGCCAAAGCTGCAGGGGCAGGGGCTGGGCTCATCTGAGGGCAGAGGTCAGGTTTGGGGCCTGGGGGTGCTCGGAGGGTCCTGCAGCAGCCTGAGGCCTGGAGGAACTTTGATCTGGGCACGGGACTCACCTGGCACTGGTCACAGTGCTCCCCCATGTTCTCTTCATCGCAGTGACACTTCTCACATTCTGTGCATCTCTGCGGACCGGCGGAGTCTGGTTAGCTGGAGACCCTGACCTCCACTCGTCCAGCCTGCCTCCTGGACATTTCCCGAAGTCCTCACCAACCCCAAGCCTGTTTCTCTCCCTACACTCTGTTCCCTATTGCGAGGTGACCCCATGTCCTGCTCCCTTCTTTGGGCTGGACTTCGGGGCTCCTGTTCCTTTCCTATTCTCCCCACAGCCTGTCAGTCCCCAGTTCCATCCCTCCTGCCCCTGACTCCCCCTCTGAACCTCCTTTCTGTCCTCATATCCACAGGTGCAGCTCCGGCCTCTCGGGCTGCTGGACCACTGCCCCGGCCTCCTGATCTCCAGTCTGTCCCCCATGTGGCCTCTGACGTGTATTTCTGCCCTGCCCCTCCTTTCTTCAGAGCCCTCCCAGGGGGCCCTAGGGGCCCTGGGACAAAGGCAGGGACAAGGTGGACGGACCCGACAGGGGACATACATCGCAGAAGGAGCAGTAGCCGCACAGGGAGCCTGGCTGGTAGTTCCCATACTCCTGAGCGCCGTGAGGACCTGTGGGGACAGCAGGGCGGCAGTGACCCGACCCTTGAGTTTACCGAGGCAGAGTGCACGCCTCTCACCCCCCGGCGAAGCCACTTACCCACGATCTCACCACTCTCCTCTTCACTGGAGGCTCCGCCAGCTACCTCCCTCATGGCCAGTGGGTTGGGGATGATGGTAAAGGGAAGTTCGTCTTCCTCCAGCTCCCCCTGCTCCTCTTCCTCCTCATCGTGGTCTGGGCTCCGTGAGCCCAGGACCTCCGCCTTCTCTTCCCTTTTCTCCTGTTCCTCTTCCTCCTCCTCTTCCTCCTGGCTCAGACGGAGACCGTGGCCTTCCTCCTCACCCTCCTCATCCTCCTGGTCCAGGTTGTCCTGGCGGGTGTCTTCCTGCGGCAAGCCTTCATCCTCTTCCTCATGGGACCCCTGGTCTTCTTCCTCAGAATCTGCCTCCCGAGAATGGCTTCTGGCCTCTACCTCTGTGTGCTCTGGAGGCTGGTGGCCAGTCTCTTTAACAGACCCTCTGTGGCCAGGCACTTCGTCTCTGTGGCCGTGTCGCCTGTGGCTAAGCTGTGGAGCGATGCCTTCCTCCTCGGGGGCTCTGTGGTGGTGAGGACCAGAGCCAGCTGGCTCATGCCCGTCTGGGAAGTCCTCTCCAGCGCCTGTGTGGTCTTGGGGTTGGTGGCCGAACTCGAGGTCCTCCTCCTCCTCCTCCTCCTCATGTCCAAGGCCTTGGTGGCCAAGTCTAGGAACCTGGTGCCAGTGTTCAGTGGACACATCCTCATCTTCCTCCGTTACGTGGCCTCGATGTCCGAGGCTGGGGACATGATGGTGATGTTCTTCTGAGTCATCTTCATCCTCTTCCTCGCCGTGGCCTCGGTGCCTGTGGGCCTGGAGTTCATCCTCAGGGGAGGCATCCCCGTCATCATCTTCATCGTCGTCTTCCTTTCCTCTGTGGCCGTGATATCTGTGGCTGGGGCCACGCTGGTGGTATTCATCGGAGGCATCGTTGTCCTCTTCCTCTTCCTCGCCGTGGCCTCGGTGCCTGTGGACCTGGAGTTCATACTCAGTGGAGGCGTCCCCTTCTTCTCTGTGGCCTCGGTGCCTGTGGCTGGGACCGTGCTGGCGGTGTTCATCCGAGCCATTCTCGGCTTCCTCTTCCCTGCGGCCTTGGTAGGCCTGGAGTCCATATTCGCCCTCTTCCTCCTCCTCCTCCTCTTCCCTGTGGCCCCCGTGGACATGCCTGACGATATGACCAGGGTGCTCGCTGGACACGACTCCCTCCTCCTCCTCCTCAGAAACGCTGTGAGTTCTGTGGCTGGGAAGGTGGTGCTGGTACTCGACGGAATCTTCCATGTCTTCACTGCCGTGGTCTCTGTGCCCGTGGGGCTGCTCTGTGGAGGCCTCCTCAGAGGCATTCTCGTCCCCAATGTCGTGGCCTTGGAGCTGATGCTCATATTCCCTGGAGACCTCTCCGTCCTCCGCTCCATGTCCTGTGTGGCCTGGGAAGAGCTGTCCACGCTCCCCCTCATCTCCAGGGCCTTTCTGGCTGTGGCGGGGGTGGCCAAACTCCCCTGACATGTCCTCTGTGGGCTCGGCCACTCCTGCATTGTTCCAGCTGCTGGGGCCCGGCCCAGCCCCTCTCAGCTGCTGGGTCGTGGCGGGGGTGAGGAGCAGGCTGGCCACAGCGGCCCAGAGGACACAAGTGTGCAGCCATGGCCCCCGGTGGCCCATGGGGACAGACACACAACAGAGCTTCCCCAGGGCTGGCTCCTGCTGCCGGCGGGCAGAGAGGCTGAGGCGGGCAAGGCCCTGCTGTCCTGCCTTTCTCGGCCCCTGCCTGCCCTTGCCTGTGTCTCGTCTGTCCCTCCCGTCTCTCCCTGTCCCCCGCTGCCTGCCTTCCTCTGGCCCTTGCTGCCCAAGTCCGGACACCCCTGTGAGGCTGCCTTAGGAGCTCCCACCTCCCTCCCAGGTCCTCCCTCCCCACTTCCCGGCCAATAGGGTCTCTCCCTCCCCTGCTGTGGCTAAATTTACTCTCAACCCTGAGTTATTCTGGGTGAGTCCTGACCTGCCCCTCCCCTCCTGCTCCTCCTCCTCCCTTGGGGAGATTGGGGTGAAGGGGTCTCTCCTTGACCTGGGGGGGGGGCGGAGAAGGGGGCCGGAGGCCAAGACCCTTGACTTTGGACTAGCAGCGAGTGGCTGCTGTGAAGACGATGGCTGGACTTAGCGGGCCAAGTTGGGGAGCCCGGGCGGAGCTGGAGGGTCTCATGTGAGGGTGTGGGGGGAACCACGCCGCACCATGGAGAGTGGGGGCGAGATAGGAGCTTTGGGGTGAGGGGTGGCCGCCCTGAGAGGCTGAAATGAACTCTGCGAGCACAGCCATGACCTCCTGGCCCAGGGACTCAGATCTGGGGCTGGAACAGCAGGCCAGGACTATAAATACAGAGAGGGGAGCAGGGGGCTCAGGTTACCCCAGGCTGCAGCTGTCCCTGTCAGAGAGCTGCTGTGGAGACACCGGCCCTGCCTGAGCCATACCCTCTCTCCACCTGCCCAGCCGCCCAGCCTTTGAGGGGCTCCTCTTAAAAAAATAAAAATATTCATTTAGGTATGCAAGAACTGGGGTACAGGCCAGAAGTGTGGGGGTGGGGGTGAGAGAAGTCGCCAGAAGAGTGGGGAACAGAACAGAACTGGAATATACTGCTGAGGGGCGCAGCAGGAAGACTGGAGACGTGTGCGAGGACCGAGCTGGCGCTTCCGTGGCTGTGGGGAGCTTGGGGAGCCCCGTGGGGCTGAGACTCAACCCCTCCGCCACCAGGAGGCCAGGTCGCAGCTCCAGGCGCCCCTCTCTC